CTGGAGGTCACTGTCCACCTGGAGGGGACTGTCCACCTGGAGGTCACTGTCCACCTGGAGGGGACTGTCCATCTGGAAGTCACTGTCCACCTGGAGGTCACTGTCCATGTAGAGGGGACTGTCCACCTGGAGGGGACTGTCCACCTGGAGGGGACTGTCCACCTGGAGGGGACCGTCCACCTGGAGGTCACTGTCCACGTGGAGGTCACTGTCCACCTGGAGGGGACTGTCCATCTGGAGGTCACTGTCCACCTGGAGGTCACTGTCCACCTGGAGGGGACTGTCCACCTGGAGGGGACTGTCCACTTGGAGGTCACTGTCCACCTGGAGGGGACTGTCCACCTGGAGGGGACTGTCCACGTGGAGGTCACTGTCCATCTGGAGGGGACTGTTTACCTAGAGGTCACTGTCCATCTGCAGGAGACTGCCCACCATGGAGGCCACTGTCTGCATTGGAGGAAACTCTACCTGGAGTTCACTGTCCACACAGAGGTCACTGTTCAGCTGGGCTGAGCTGGGGCTATGAGCAGGGGGTCTGGGCAAGGAGCTGGAGAGAGGAGCGCATGGAGAAACTTGGGTTTGGGGCCGCCTCTCCTGGGCCTGGGGAACCAGGCTGACTGCTGGGGGAAAGGTCTCTTCTGAGCTCTGACCAACGGGTATTTGCCCTCTTTCTAAAGATAAGCCAGGTGAGGCCACAGGGAGGGAAGAAGACTGTGTGGTGACTTGTTCTCAAGGCTGCGATGCTCTGAAGCCCTTTCACCTGAGAGGGGAGCAGAACCTTCCAGAGTGAGGTTGGGGGGTCTGCCACAGGTCCACGTGGGGGCTGTGCCTCTGCGGCCTGCACTCCCTGGCCAGTGGCTGGTGCCAGAGCTCCTCCTCCCCGACCAGAGCTGTGGCATCGGCATCTGTGGACTCTCATCTGGTCGGGGGCAGGAGCGCGGGGGACCCCTTCCCCACGCTCCTGCCCCACCAGGCTGTGGGAGGGCAGCTCCCGTCTCTATCCCTGAGACCAGCATCCGGGGCTGGACCGTGAATGTCCAGTTCGCTGGTCACGTGGAAAACAAATTCTCTGACGTGACCTGATGCTGAGTGAAACAACGGGCCTCGCTGGGGGAGAGGCTGTGATACGGGCGCCCGGGGCGTCCGACGGTTCCCTCTGGGACACGCATCTGGGCAAACCCTCGAGCGCTTGTTCATAAACAAGACCACGGTCACAGCTTTCCCCATTGGTGGACACACACGTCCCATCCTGTCACGCACGAGGACGAGGAAACACTCACCGCCTGGCACAGGACTGGGTACTTGCTGCGGTTGATGCCGCCCGCAAACACCGCGAAGGTCAGAGCCGCGTGGAAGCAGAAGTTCAGGAGCGTGTGCCGGCCTTTCCGGCTGATCCGGATGGCGCTACGGGCAATGGAGAGGTCCCGTCAGGACCCAGCATGAGGGCGAAGCGTGCAGCCCCCCTTCCCCCCCGCAAAGACGCAGCTGCCCCCCCCCCCACCAGATTGAAGGGCACAAGGCAAAGGTGTGTGAGGGTCCTGGCGGCTGCTGTAACTTCCCCAGGACGTGGGCTCTTGGGGCATGTGACCTGACCCCGGGCCATTGGAGGAAGAACCTATTTATCTGATTGATAAGAACATGGAGGCCCTCGAGGGAAGACCTTGATGGAGGCCTAGAGCGGGAGGGCATGGCTGTCCCTGAGCCCTTGGCCACCCTCGGCTGCTGTCAGGGCCACCCCCGGTGCTAGGCCGGTGACCTAGGAGGTCCTTCCAGGGACGTCTTGCTCCGTGAGGAGGGGCTCACTGCAGGGTTTGCCTGTGATGGTGACAGCATGCGACCTGGAGGCGGGCGGCCTTACTTCTGGTGCACGACATAGGTGATGATGCAGGCCAGGAGGCAGAGCAGCATGACGGCGGTGCAGGCGTACACCACAGGGTGCAGGAACTCCCCTGGGTACTGGGGCAGGGAGAGGACAGTCTTCAGATCCTGGGAAGAACACAGAGCAGACCGTGTGAGCAGGAACCAGGCACCTGGTGGAGCTGCCTGGACCCCCCGGGCTGGTCTGGCCCCTGCAAACCATCAAGGATGTCTGCGTTGGGGACAGGGGCCCTGCTTCCTGGGAGTGGGCCTGTCTGAGGGCCCCAGACCCGCAGGCCACGAGCATCCGGACGGAGCCCCCCAGAGAGGCAGCGACTCAGGGCAGGTGGCCGAGCCCCACTTCCCAGCCTCAGGCACCCAGACATCCTGCTCTATAGACTGTCCAAGGAGAATTCCAGGTCACGTCCCGGGAGCCAACTCCAGTCCCGGAGAAAGAGCAGTTGCTGGGACGGGATGGTGTGACGGGATGGGACTGCCCTGAGGCCCTCTGGACAGCATCGCAGCCCCGGGTTGAGGGCTGGAGGGCAAGGGGCACGTGAAGCTGAGGGGCGAGGGCCCCGGCCGGACATGGAGGCTGAGGGACTCCGCCCTTTGTCCATCAGACTGGTGTGGTGAGCTCTCGAAATGTCGGCATAGGCAGCCCCGAGATTTACCGGCCCCGGGACCAGGTTCCCAAGCCACCAAGAGAAAACGTGGCAGCCAAGCAGAGCGTCGTGTGGGCAGGCCTTGCACACCCCGCCGGGCACACGGCAACCAAGCCCTGTGATCGCGCGAGGGAGGAGAGGGCCCCGGGGCACAGACCCTCCTCTGCGGCGCAGGCCCTAGAGGGGCCGGCGGGGACCCTGGCCTCGTGCGCCTCTGACCTCTGACATGCACTGAGCAATGTTCCAGACCCTTCATGTGCTGTAACTCGCCAAGTCATGAGGACACCTGGCTGTGGACAGAAACCTATCCCTACAACTCAGGGGTTGGAGTCCTCGTGCCCCACGTGCCTGCAGAGGAGGTGGTGAGCCTTTATGGGGGTGACCGAGGTCACGAGAGGTCACAGGATAAGGCCTGGTTCAATAGGACCCGTGTCCTTATGAGACGGAGACGAGGACACAACCTGCCCAGAAGGAAGACCGTTGGAGGCCACGGTGAGAAGGTGGTGGTCTACATGTCTAGGAGGGCGGCTTCTGGAGAAACCGCCCCGTGACACCTTGACCGTGGGCTTCCAGGCTCCGGGACTGAGGGACAGTGTAACATTAACTGGCTCTGCCTGGGGTGCTGGTTAGGCCTGCCCCCCCCCCCCGGGCTGCTGGTCGCGGCCCCCAGAGTAGACGGACGCAGCCCCCGGGTGCTCCTGTGCCCACTGTCGGGGCCAGAGGGTGAGACGCTTTCTTCACCTCTCAGCTTGTGCTCTGAGCCGCACGCTTCCACAGCCCTGGGACCGGATCGGCGTGGGGGGGGGGCAGGTGGGGGCTGGTGCCCACAGGGGGCTGCCTGGGGGTCGTCTGTGAGACCACATGGAGCTGCCCGGCGTGACAGCAGGCTGGTGGTCGGGGGGGTGGGGGTGGTTGTATGCAGCAGTGCCCATGGCAGACGCACCCCCCAGGCTGACACAGGCTCTGGGTGGGCTCTGGGCCCCTCCCTGCTCGGTCAGGGTGGCGGGAAGCAGCTGGTGCTCCTCCAGGATGGCGCCCGGCCCGAATCGTGCAAGAAAGGATGGAAATGCCCTTGAAGGACACTTGGCCTCGCCTGGTCTGGGAAGACAGTGTGTCCAAGAGCTAAGACAAGCCCATCTGGGAATGTCAGACTCCTCGGATGGATGTCCAGGGACAGCCAAGGACCACCCTGAAATCCAGCTGTGGCCTCTGCATCCTGATTGTGCTCTGCCCAGGGACTTCTCCGAGACCTCTCTGCTGTCATGGCAACGGCAGACGGAACCCTGTCACCATGGAAAAGGTGTCGAGCGACCTGGACACCAAGGGGACTCCTCCCAGTCTGACAGCAAAGGACCTAGCTGACAACCGAAGCCTGAATTATGGCCCCTGACCCAGCAGCTGGCCAAAGGAGGAGCGTGTGTCACGTGGCAGACTGTGGGCTAGATGCGATGGTGGCCCTCCCACTGTCCTGACTGTCCACAGGCCAGAAAGCCTAAAGGGCACATGCGGACACGCACAGAACACTCACGACTCCCCTCCAGATGACTGGGGTTTCAGCAGGACCCACACTGCAGCCGTGGCCCCAATTCCCATGAAGTCATGGGCTCAAGACCAAGGACAGTGGAAGGATGCCAGCCACAAGGTGACAGGGATGCCACGGCTGCGGGGCCCCCTGGGGACAAGGGCTGCGGCTGACTGTGGCCTGCAGCCCCGCCGGCACGGCCCATCCTGGTCCCCATGCCCACGGCCAACAGAGCTTTCTCCGGAAGGCACCCAGGTCGCCGGAGGCCTCGATGGCCCCCGCCGGGCGCTCCGTCCTGCGACGTGGAACTTGCGTCTGCAAGGACAGGTTTCCGAGATCGTCGCTGAGGTGCCGGGAAGTCGCGGCCCAGCTCGTCTGTCTCCGGGGCTCGCGCGGCTCCCCGGGACGTGCTGGCTGCCGGAAGCGCTCGCGTCTCCTCACCCGCCGCCCGGCTTCGGGCGCGCTCCCTGTGGCGCTGCAGAGGTCTGAGGCTTTTGGCACCTGCCACCGCCAGCCAGCGCCAGCCTCCTGACGACTGTAAGCCACCGCGGAAGTCGAGGAAAGTGAGTTTTCCTGGTCACATCCTGGTTTGTGATCATCTCCTCACCGCCGTTTCTTCTGAGGCTGTCTGCTGACGGGCGGACGGCGGCCCAGCCGGCAGTCAGGAGTCAGCGCCCCGGAGGTCAGCCAGGCCCCCGTTGTGTGGGTCATTAGCTCTTTTCAGAGACGAGGGCTTTAACCTGGGGTCTAAGTACCCTGAAAGTCGTGACCTGAAGGCCCGGGCTGCAGGGACGGTGTTCCCGTGCACAGAGCCCAGCCGAGTTGAGGCCCGGGGTGGGCCTACCCCTCTGGGGACTCCCTGTCCCTTCTTGGCCTTTCTTGGGGTGCTGTCACCTTCCTGCTGGGGGGGCAGGGGTGGCGGGTGGAGAGGGGCTGAGGAGTGACAGACGCCCATTCTGGAGCAGAGCGTGCTGTGATGCCCGGAGCCCGTGTCCAGGCGTAGCACGCAGGGCTAGAGCCCAGGACCTGCGTCACAGAACTCCCGCGCAAGGGCATCCCACCTGCCAAGTTTTGGCCCCACACCCCACCCCCCTTCTGCTAAGCCAGTGGGAAATCCAACCTCCTTCCCGTCATAGGCCAAGGCTTGAGTGAGTCAGCGCAAGACTCAGTGTGTCTGAGCCCTCGCCCCAGCCAGCGCACAGCGCACACAGCCGAGGTCACCCTGCTGCAGGGGCGCTTTCTTGTCGGAGGGCCCGGTTTTGAGGCCGCAAGGGTGTGGGGGGCTCCTGAGCCCAGAGCAGCTGCACCAACAATGTGTGTTTTCTTCAGTTCCGTTCGGGCTCCTATTTTTTCCTCCAAGTTAGTTATCAACTGTGCCTTTCTACATTTTTAGAGGTGACATTTAAAATTCAAAGTAGGTAATGCAGAAAGGAGATATTATTCTATATCTTAAAGTTCATACATATATGAGTTCTTCCTGGAGGAATTACTTTCCAAGTGTCCCACAGAGAAGATCCTTGAGACGTGTGGGGCTGAAGCCGGGACAGACCCTGCAGCGCCCTCGGGACCCGCACGCACTTCCCACCGGAGAGTCCAGGCTCAGTCAAGAACCCATCCCGCTGCTGCGGCCCCCGCCCGCGGTCTCCGCTCACGGCTCTGCCTTAGAAGCCTCGCGAAGACGCCTCTGCTCCCGGGAAATGCAGCCTCCGTCTTCCCACGGCTGCCCACGTTCTCTGCGGGGCCTGGAGGCGGGGAGCTCCTGCCCGTGGTTTGCGAGTATCTTCCCCTTTCCCGAGGCTCACCTTCCTTCCATGTCTCTGTGTCATTTTAGGTGGATGCGTCCTTTTTGGAATGTTCTGTAAATAAATCAGCTTGTGTGTTAAGAGACAAGAAAGAGGAAGGAGGTATTACGTGGGTGTCCATTGTCCGATCAACACGGGCCATTTTGGCAGGAGGGGGAGGAAAGGGGCCTCCTGTACCCGGAGGTGCGGACGTTCTCGGCGTCCCCCCGCCTGGGCTCCGCGCTGAGCGACCCGGTGTCCGTCGTCTGTGCTGCTAACGGCCGCTGCATCTCGTCGATCGTCCGTGAAAGTGTCCCAGCGGAAAGGCAGAGGCAGAAGGTGAGCAATTTATTCACAAATCACCCTCGCCGGACCTCAGTTTGTCTCGCTTGTCCCATGTTTGCCTTGGCGGGACGTGCGGGACAGCATGGGGACTCCCACCGGCCGGGGTCATGGCCGCAGGGCTTGCACTCGGGGCGACGTTGGGGGTGACACAGTCTCCGTTTCTGGGATGAGGGAAGCTCGCAAGTTTTCAGAAATTTAAACATGACGCTGAATGAAGAGCAGCACGGGGAGAACTGGCGGGATTCTGGGTGCGTGCGGGCGTGTGCGGGTGCCACAGAAGCCTGTGGGGCTGGCTGGAGGTTGTCGGGCGCAGCCTAGCCGAGTGGCAGCGTGGACACAGGGCAGGCTGGGTCCTGCCCACGCCAGTGCGGCCGCCCTGACCCTGCCTGCTCAGCTGTGTGGCGGGCACGAACCAGACTTCCACCTCTGCATCCTCCATCTGCCCCTTGTCTTTTCGGGGTTTTAATTCCACTGCTGCCTTTTCAAATGTGGGATCCTTACGTGCAGAAAAGGGGTGTCCTGAGCATGCTGTGTCTTTGGGATTCTGTGCTCCGAGCACAGCCAGGGTGGGCCTTGCCTTTCTCCCTGTCCCAGCTTCCAGCCCCTGCTAGACCTGCCAAAGGATGGTCTGGCGACACAGGTTAGCCCCGAGCTCAGAGCGAGTCGGGGCTCTGTGGGTTCTCGACGGCTCCTGGCGGCTGCTGGCGCCGGCTGGGCCTGGGCCACATCACAGAGAAGCCGCCACAGTGGGGTCTCTTCCTCTCAGTTCAACATCACTGAGTGGCCGTCTTGTCCTCTCAGATCTGCTTCATGTCCCAGTGATCCGAGGAGTCCCGCCACGCCTCGCCCGCCACAGGAGGTGTGGCTGGGAAGACGGGCTTGTGTGGAATGAACGTGGCCTCCCTCACAGTGACCACCCTGCTCCTCAGGGGATCTACCAGACCCACGCTCTGAAAGGAAACGGGAGAATGTGCACAACTTTGGACGACTTCTTACTCCCTTCCAACGCCTGTCACTGCGTTCCCTTGGGGACGTTAGTGTGAAAATCACAGAAGATCACGGAGTGCAAAGGATGCACGTTGTGGTCGCTGCTTGAATTTGAACAGGAATGGGGCCACTGCACACACGTCCTCTTTTGTTTGCTAACAGCTATGATGGCGGCCCGGGTCCCGCAGGTCCTGCAGGGGAGGGCTCTGCCCGAGCATCGAGGGCAGGTGGGCGCACGTCCTGAAGGGAGGACAGGGGCCTCCGTGCAACACGGACTCCAGCGTGGCCCCAAGGTGCCTCCAGGAGACCGTGTGTCATCCCGCTCAGGAGCCACGAGGCTGACTGCCGACCTCAGGTGTCAGGGAAGCTGGCGGCCAGCCCAGGGCTGGTGCCTTGCAGGTGGCGTGAGTGTGGCAGTGTGGGGTGGCCAGGGTCGGGCCACCCTGCTGGCCACAGCCTCTGGTCTTCATCCTCGTATCACCTGGGCCCCTGGGGTGAGGTCTCCCAGCGTCCACACCACAGACTCAGAGACGTGTGCGGAGCCATGCTGGCTGCTGCCCTGCAGGGCTGGGTCTGCGTTTCTTTGGGGAATCTCCAGGGAACATGTTGTTTTTTAGGAATAAAAAACCAACAAACTGCTGAGGCTCTAAACCCTCCCGGCAAGTGTGACCCATCGGCTTCACGGTCCTGGACTGGGCAAGTGTCCGGGGCTGGGCTGGGGGCAGCTCTGCACGTGGGTGCAGCTGCGGGAGGTGGGATGTAGGGCAGACCTGCTTGGAAGGGCCAGCGTCAGACGGGAGGAGGCCCAGGGCTGCTGGCTTAGGCCGAGGCGTCCTGCCCTGCCCCCAGGCTTCTGCCGCGGCTCCTGGCTCGCCCTCTGTCTGCTGACAACAGGTCCCGTTTTGCAAGTAAGGCTCTAACCTGAGGATGAAAACCTGAGAACAGGCCGACCTGGAGGCCCAAGCCATGCTCGCAAGGCGCCGCGTGGCCACAGGCAGTCCCTTAAGGAGCTGGGCGTCTGGCCAGGCCGGCCTCCCGAGGAGCAGGGGAGTCTGGGCGCCCTCCCGGCCGGCGGGGCTCGGAGCAGCCCTGCGGACCATGCGGAGTCTTGGCAACGAGCACCGACCTTACTTGGGCGTCTCAAACGAACAGGAAGGAAACGGACAAGTGACTCAGACAGACGCCGCTCTGGAAGCAGACACGCGGGGGTGCATTTGACTCAGTGCTGGCAC